CATCTTTACACATCAGTTGAATGGTTGTACATCATCTTGACCACATCATTTGGATGGTTGTACATCATCTTGACCACATCATTTGGATGGTTGTACATCATCTTGACCACATCAGTTGGATGGTTGTACATCATCTTGACCACATCAGTTGAATGGTTGTACATCATCTTAACCACATCAGTTGGATGGTTGTACATCATCTTGACCACATCAGTTGGATGGTTGTACATCATCTTTACACATCAGTTGGATGTTTGTACATCATCTTTACACATCAGTTGGATGTTTGTACATCATCTTGACCACATTAGTTGGATGGTTGTACATCATCTTGACCACATTAGTTGGATGGTTGTACATCATCTTTACACATCAGTTGGATGGTTGTACATCATCTTGACCACTATACCCTTTACAGCTAGACAAGTCACACGTGAACTCTGTTTCACCTGTCAAATTCTGGTCAAGAGTATGAAGATCTAGATCTGGTATTAAACTGAAGATGGACAGATGTGTATAAGATTATAAATACATCGGGAGATGGAAAGAAAGTTATAAATGAAAAAGAGAGAAATATAGTAGAGGAAGGAAGAAAGTGTGAGAGAGAGAGAGGGACAGAGGGACAGAGACTCTGCCCCCCCCCCCCCCGAAGAAAGTCTACCGCCACCCCCCCCCCCCCCCCCGAACGAGATGGATTTTATATAGTAAACACACTTTTACTAGTGTCCGCCCTCCCCCCCCCCCGAAAAATGTTGACCGCCCGCCGAAAATTTCAAGTGCTCCCCCCCCTCCCCCCCCCCCCCCCCCCGGAGAAAAAAGTCTGGAAGAAACACTGGGAGAGAGACGATAGTAGAGGGAGAGAAAAGCAACAAAAATAACGAATAAACATGTCAAAAGAACACAAAAGCCAGTCTTCATCAAATATCTCAATATTATTACATCAGAAGTAATACACATTTTATTATCAGTAACTTCAACTTCCGTAACCATCGAAAGTAAGCATTGAAAGTAAAGATTTAAAGTAATGAGTAAAGTAAACAGTAATGCTTAATCAGTAACACTGGAACAATTCTAAGTTAATCTTAATTGTTGTAAATACTAGCAATAAAGTTATGTTGTATTTAATTAAAACGAACGATAGTTGAAAAACAAATGTAGATCTTAGCCACAATCTTAATATAGAAAACATTCATACACATCAAAACATTTTTGAATTTCAGCAAGTCTTATATTTTTTCATTTTCGATGTTTATAAGGGATTTGCAAAGAACAGTTTTTGTCTTGCAAATGAGTACTTACTAGAGGGGGATGTGGGTAAGCAGGTTCATCTTAATTTTTTTTTTCGTCAATTGGATAATGGTGCTGTGTGTGTATGTGCGCGTGTGTGTGTGTGTGTTGGACTCCCGCCAAAGTAAGTATCGTATGAGAAACGTAAATTGTTTTAGATTAATTAGCCCTTCAGCTGTTATGTGTATGGGCAGTGATGCAACACACACTGGAGTTATGCCGCTGAAATTAATTGAAGGTTCAAGGTTTTGTACAGGGATAGGGGAGGGTGGAATACGGGAGGGTGTGTTGGGAAGGATACGGGCAGGGGTGTTGGGTTGATAATAATAAGACAGGGGTGTCGTGAGGTAAGTGGAGCGAGGGTGGGAGTAGGGTTGGATTATTGGGGGTAGGGTTGGATTATTGGGGATAGGGTTGGATTATTAGGGGGAGGGTTGGATTAATGGGGGTAGGGTTGGATAATTGGGGGTAGGGTTGGATTATTGGGGGTAGGGTTGGATTATCTCTTGGGTAGAATTGTGATATTTTACTTGTAGACAATCATTATAAGCACCCTAATAATATCCAACAGTGCCGCTATACAAGTACAGAAAACCTCTAGTAAAACCTTTTACGTCATCATGTCGTCTTTTAGTGAAATGACGTAAACTTTGCTAGATCAACAAACGGAAATAAAGTTCTAAAGTCTTACTTGAAAAATCACGTGATTACTTCTGAGGCCATGTACTAACATAAGAACCTGACGGCGTTACTTCTGAGGAAATGATTTGTGTTGTTACGCACGAAATGTGTGACCATGGGTCATTAAACTGTATTGTAATGCTGGATGGTCTAGCTAGAGCTTTGATGCGGAACGCTAATTAGCACGAACAGTTCGACATGGTTGGATGATTGTAAATGAGAATATGGTGGTTCTACCGCAGCTTCCGTTAATGACGTCATGAAATAAGCGACGGTGTGTGAGGGGGGGGGGGGAGTTCCTAGATGAATGAACGCTACAGGTGTGTGTGTGTGTGTGTGTGTGTGTGTGTATTTTGATGAATGGACATTGGTCAGGTATGTACCTTTGCAAGCTAGATAACAACGGGCATCTAGAACTATATTGCAACAACGGATTGTGTAAAATGTATGTTGAAAACACACAAGTTCAGGACTAATGTGTGCAACAAATGTCCCAAGTAAAATGTGTGTTGAAAACACAAGTTTCAGGACTAATGTTTGCAACCAATGTCCCAAGTAAATGTTCAATGTAAACGTTCGAAGCGAATGTTCAAAGTAAATCTGTGACATTTCGAAATAAAATACACTCATACTCAAACTGGGACGCACACATATGCACACACACGCAGGTAGACGCTTACACACATGCATACACATACACACATTAACACGTAGTCGAATATCATTGTGTTGACGGTTATTAGTGCCTTATAAATCTGAAGGTAGAATATTTCACTTCTATAGCGTGATAAAGTGACTGGGATAGTATGACGCCCTGGGATAATGTGACGCCCCTAGGATAGTGTGACGCCCCGTGACAGCGTCATGCACTGAGATGATGTGACGCCCCTAGGATAGTGTGACGCCCTTGTGTAGCGTGACGCCATGCGACAGTGTTACACCCTTAGATAGTGTAAGAGTCTTTAATTAATGGGTATCCTGGGATAGTGTGACATCACACAATTAGCTGACGCCTAGTAATATATAAGTAATATTACATAGAAACTGCTTTCATTTCTGTGCGAAAATGGTTTAAAATTCGTTGAATCACATGTGACTGTTGCTAAATATATATCACATATCAGGTAATCTTCACATTTGCGTTTGTACACAGCACTTAAACACCTCAACCAGTAGCTTACACACCGTTACCATAGCAACGAGAACAAACACACAGAGTGCTAAAACAAGCTAAAACAACAATATTTATACTGTGAAATAAACGGTGCTGGTGTGAGTCTAGAAAACTTTGTTTCAATGTTTTTAATGCTCATATGTCATAACAATTTTATTTTTAAAAATTAATCTGTACATATACACTAATTAACACTTTTTTTTTTCCAAAGTTGATTTTTTTTTCCTGAAAAATCAACACTCTCGCATTTACGTTCTTTAAAATCAATTAACTTTCTCACCTAAAACACTTTCTAACTTTACCTTTATATATATATACAGTATGTACAGTAGTTTATGCAGCGTACAAATTATTCTCAATGCAGTTGATTGTAAGTTAATTAAATCGTCTAGTTAACAAATTAATAAACATGCCAATGAAACCTAGACACAACATTCGTTCATTTATAGCAAACAATGACAACCTTCGCTTAGCTCTCGTGAACAAAGAGTCAATTCTTCAGCCGATATTAAGTAACAAAGCAGGCCCCTAGCCAGACAAATCAAGCAGAAAAAAATATCTTTTACTTTATCTGCCTAACAAATAATTATTTTAAATTATAGAAAACAAAAATTTACAAACACTGTCAATTCATTTTTGATAAACAATACAAACACTCAGCACAGAATAAATACACGAATCGATGAATCACCATTAAGGACATCTTCAAATACAGTTCAAGGATAACGAAAACAATGCAATTCATATTACAAGTTTTAAAATCAATTAATTATCCTATTATGGCAACATAACCTTGTCTAAACTTACAATGTATATATATATATATATATATATATATATATATATATATATATATATATATATATATATATATATATATATATATATATATATACAGTGGTCACTTTGATGATTAAACTGTAAAACATCAGTCTACACAATATGTAAAATAGCTGGTCACGTGGTTTACATAAGACAAAATAAATAACAAGGTAAACTAACACATGACACTGTATGATATGGTTTAAGTGGGTCCACTGGCTGGTTATATAGCCAGAATATATCACCAGTTTGGGGGAGGGGGTGGGAGATGGGTGCATTATAGGGGGGGGGGGGTCCATATTAATGAGATTAATTAAAAATGCAAAATGTATTCGATGTGTAACCAGAAAACGTGGTTTCATGACATTGGAATATTTTTAAAAATATATAAATACTAACCAGTTCGGTGAACCGTAGTGGTCTATTTATATGGAAGATCGCGTGGTCATTTTGTATTAAAATCGAATAAATATTCTCAAAGGCAATTAAAATACAAACAGTATTTTCATTGTAATAAATACTTATGTCTAGGAATAAAGCTATAAATTAGAGATTAGATAAAAAATGGTGTCTGAACTCAAATGTTTCGCCAAATTGTCTACGGTATGGGTTTTGTGTGTCTAAAATTATCCCATGCCCGTGAGAAAGAACGAACGCGAGCCCCCAGTTTAGTTAGGGATTAGTGCCTGATTGGGCGCTAATCCGGGTCCATCTGGAACCGTTCCAATCGTCTCTTAAGTCTTTTCTTACCCCCGGTTCAATACGCCCTGGATTCAGTGGCTAGTTCGTTGCTCGCGACAGTGTAACAATGTCCAGTCTATTACCAGAGCTTATTTCAGGCAATTTTAGAGCACGGCCCCCCCCCCCCCCTCACCCATGCTCGTAAAACGGCCCTCGAAAGAAAAGAAATTAATATAGAAAATTTTAACTTTTAGCAGTGCCCCCCCCCCCCGAAATTTTCAAATGACGACCCCTAGAATTTTCAAGTGCCCCCCTCACCCCCCCCCCCCCCCGATAAAAAATAGTCTGATAGAAACACCGTCCATTACTTACTATTATGTAAAATCCAGTTTTTTTACTTTCAATAAAATTATGTTCAGGATATTACTTACATGAGAACTTAATATAGGTTTCATCTTTACTGATTTCAATGAATACACTAACAATATACAACCTGTAACAATGCAATGTTCATTTTTTAAATAATATAATGTTCAGATTTCTTATCCTCAACAGTGAATCATCTCTTTCATTATATCAAAAAACAATGTAGCATTTACCGTGCTACTTTTATTAGCCTAATGCTCATGGCTAATTTTGTTGAAGAGAAAAACGACATCGTTTATGTAAAACATATTTTGATTTTGATTCATTTAACATAATTTTAAAAAATCAAGAACTATGAAATACGATATTTCTAAAGAAGAACACATCCTTAATAACTAGGACTATGGAATGTTTTTATTTTTACACCTCCTGTACGTTCGCCAATGGGAATTATTTTTTTACTAACGGGAGGTTCATTACTATCACGAGAAAAGTTTGATGAAGTATAATCGAGGGCAGAGGAACAAGTTCATTTTCAAATGACCATCAATGCTTCTCTACTTCACGACACTACACTACACGACATGATACTCCCTCCCCTCACTACACGACGGAATCTCGGAGTATGAGATTGTCTATTTCCTGCCTCAGCTCCTCCGGGTTGATGGTGTAACTCCCGGAAGTCGTCGTTCTGTCGTCCTCCTCTTGGAAGCTGGAACGGTTGCTCCATTTGGGGTGCGACGGGTAAGTCCTATCCGAGTAGTGGTACGCTTTTTCACCAGGGGCGTGGGCGCCGGTTCCCATGTGGGAAAGACGCTCCGCGCTGACGCTGTTGGTGTGTTGGATGCTGGGGAAGTTCCCGGGGTTTCCTTGAAAGGAACGCATCATGGCGCCGTTGTTCTTGTAGGGCGCCGCCAAGCGGTTGGGGGAGTCTTGGGTCAGGGTGCGGGAGGAGTACTGATCCCGGGTGCGCGGGGGCAGCATCTGGCTCACCGGCCTGACGCTTCCTCGGAAGTTTGGGCGGCTGTAATTGCCCACCGGCGAGTTATCGAACTCGGATCTATTTTTAGAGCTATCGGAGAAATCCGAATCGATGCCGGAAGACAGCGAGCGGTGCGGAGACGGGTGGGATGGAGACTGTCGGATTTGCTTCCCTTTGTTGGAATTATGGGATGTCTGTCGTGATGGCTTGGGCGGGTTTAGACCGTTGTGATGCGGGCCGTATCCGTTGGGTTGGAGCACTTTGTCCCTGGAGTAGATGTTGAAATAAGGGGCGTGCTCTGCGGGGGAGAGAATTTTTTTAATTAAGTCACGAATTAAAACAAGTGATTAAAACAACTAAATTATAAAATTATAAAACTAATTACACTAACAAATAAAAACACTATAAATAAGTTGCTAATTACATTAAGAAACTAAAAATATTTAAATTTATCAAATAGTTACTATAAGGAACTAAAATACGACAAATAAGTAAGTAATTGGATTTAGCAACAACGACATTTCATTTGAATCCTTTACTACAATACTAAAGTACAGTTAGGCAGCTAAAGATAGTCTAAATGCATCTAGTATTACCCTTCTTTATGTTTTACAAATAAACTATAGCGTTATAATAAATACATCCTATACATATTAATAAATATAAAATTGTATAATTGCAAAAAAAAAAAAAAAAAAAAAAGAAACTGCTATTAGATTTGGCATTGAATAACATCATTAAAAATATCAATGCTAGCAATTATGGAAATATAATAAAAATATTAATTCCAACACGGTTTCAATCCAAAAAAATAAAAAAAAAATAAAGAAAAATAACATTCAAACTTAATTAGGAATTTTAAATGCAATGAACGAAACCTTATGAGACTTGGAAAAAACCAGGCCTTACAAGATACACGTTTTCATGCTTTAGTGCAAGGTGTTTTATTTAAGAAAAAAAAAACAAAAAACAATGAACAAAGATGTCAGGTTCGAGACCAACCTGTGATTGTATACCTGACATAAGTATGAGGTAAAGGGTTAACAATTACTGACTGAAAGATTGTATACCTGATATAGGTATGATGTAAAGGGTTAACCTTTACTGACTGAAGATATATAGTGAGAGTAAATATAATTGAAAGAGACAAACGCAAGAAGTAATTACTAGTAGATATCTTAACCTTTATGTAACTCTGTTTATTTTTCTTCTTCTGAAGATTAAGTTGAGAAGAGAGATAAACGACGAGATTAATTACGTTTTCTATTTGTAATGGTGAGGTGGTTGGTTGGGTTGTGGGGGAAGTGATGTGGATAGCAGGGGATGAAAGAGAAATGAAAAGGAGAGAGATAGATGAGGAGAAAGATAGATGGCTAAGAGAAAGAGAGTATAGAAGAGAGAAGACAAGCGAGGGGTAGAGCAAAAGAGATAGTTACAAGAGAGATAGAGAGAGAGAGAGAGCAAGACAGAGAGAGAGAGACATAGAGAGAGAGAGAGAGAGAGGAAAATAAATATTAAGAGAGCATATAAAGGGCTAATGACATGAAAAATTCGTGAAGTAGTAAGTTCCCTTTTCGAATCGACGGTCCATGGGGCAAGTGAAGTAGATTTCACCTGTTTCTTTGACCGTGTCATTTAAGGGAATAGTGTAATCAGTACTAAGCCCAGCCGCCTTTACTTCCCCTAATGTGAGTTACGGGTGTTCTACTGAAATGAACGCGGATTCGAACTCGAGACTATCGGGATAGCAGTCTAGCGCTCTACCGATTGACCACGTCGTCCCTCGAGGTTAGCGCACAGGTTCTAGAAAACACAAAGTGGCGGGGCACAAAATAAAGAAAGAGAGAGTGTAGATTAAAATAAAGAGAGATGAAGATGAAAAAAGCGATTAGCTACAGCTAACAGAACCAAATCAAGAAAGAGACGTCTTATCCACAAATATCCCAAACAACGTGTCTACATATTGGATTGGTTGGAACACATGGGCATTCTGGGATCGCTGGTTGCTTCTAAACATCACGTGACTAATTGGTGGTCTAACTGGTGGTCGCTAGAGCCCTGGACAATGGTCACGTGATTGCCGATAATTGGGCGGTCATCTAGGACTTAGGTTCTAGACGGTCATCTAGGACTTAGGTTATAGACGGTCATCTAGGACTTAGGTTCTAGACGGTCATCTAGGACTGAGGTTATAGACGGTCATCTAGGACTTAGGTTCTAGACGGTCATCTAGGACTTAGGTTCTAGACGGTCATCTAGGACTTAGGTTCTAGACGGTCATCTAGGACTTAGGTTCTAGACGGTCATCTAGGACTTAGGTTCTAGACGGTCATCTAGGACTGAGGTTATAGACGGTCATCTAGGACTTAGGTTCTAGAACAGTGCGCAAAGATGAAACGAACTAAGCTGTGCAAAAAAGAGAGATAGATAGAGAGAACTTAAACAAGGACAATCATTTTTCTAAGCGAGTCGCTGGCTGCGTGCATTAAAACGGGAACATGGTTGAGGAGGTTTTGAAATTCATCCATCGGGGTCGGCGTGGTCGAGTCGGTAAAGCACATGGTTGCTAAACCGAAAAGTCTCGAGTTCGAGATGAGGCTCGTTAGCTGGGGACAGCCACTCTTCTAGGGGAGACAACGCCAAAATTAAACAACTGCTGTCTTGTAGTTTGTACTTGGTTGGACAAAGGCTATGGAAGCAAATCCAAAAAGAAAAGCAGGCTGAAATCGGAGTTAACGGCCTCAATGGCGCATGACTAGTTGACACGTATACTTAATAAAACTGTTTTAGAGGGAATCCCTTCCACACTAAAATTAAAAACGAAGAAGAAGAAGATAAAAGATGGGGATATAGCCTTAACCCTAAGAGGTATATTAAAAAAAATGAGATACACAATTGTATTGCCCTAAAGTAGAACCAAAAAAAACGTACCTACATTAAAACATATTCTATAATTAGCTTTTTTTCAGTTATAAAAAATATAGTTGTCTGTTTTCTGCACACTTTTTGTTCTTTGTAGTCTTTAATTATTTTTTAACATACAATAATCAAGTTAGGCACACCATAAGTAACAGAATACAGTTCTCGTTAATTGACAGCCTTCTGTGTTAGAAATGAAACTCTCAGTGTAAATTGTCATTCCATAGGAATTTTAATGAGATTAAATTACAAGAACGATGCGTTAAAAAGTAATATAAGACATTAGAATGAAAATGCAACAATGTGTACATTTCAAGTTAGGAATGCATTTAGATTTAGTTATTAAAAAAAATAATTTCTGAATATATGACACGTTTGGTTCACCGTACTTTAAATAACGTCATTTCCGTTTCATTCAAGCCTTTATAGTAACTCAGCATAAAAAAAACAAAAAGTAATTAATCTACTAGATTTACGTTCATGAGAATAGACCCAGTGGAAGGCTAATTTTACCTTAATTAATTTTAATTTTCTTGTTATTTTAAACAATTTTAAATGTGAGAAAAAATATAGAAATACATTTAATGGAAACTTTTTAAAAACAAAACCGTATTTGATAAGTAATTTAATAAAATTGTGTTTATTTAAAAAAAATATATAAGGAGTGTTTTAATATGAGAAAAAAGGGGAAGAAACGCTCTTGCAGAATTCAAAAGGTAGACATACAGCCGGAAATGACGTCATAAACGTGGCTTCCATAGAAACAATTATGTTATGCTGGCTTGTTAGACATAACAAAAGAACGGTTGATTAGAGGGTTGGCAGAGGGTTGTCAAAACGGTTGTGTAAGCGGGTTGTCGAAGGGCTAACAAGCTGTTATGAGACCGCGTTGTCATGGGAGGTCTTGTTAGCGGGTTGTCAGAGTTTCGAGGGTGGTGAGAGGTTGTTCAGAGGGTTGTCACAAAGTGTAGAGAATAATAAGAGGTCAAAGGGTTGTATGGGGGTTGTTAAAAGAAGGCCGTCAGATGGTTTTATTAAAGGGTTGTCTTAGGGTTGTCACTAGGTTGCTGTAGCGTCTCCCAGAGAATAATCTTGGGTTGTTTTTTTTTCTCCGTGTATTGACAGATGAATATATAAGCGGGTTGTCAAAGGGTTGCCAGTTGCGTTTTCCTAGTGGGTTAGCCACATCATCAGAGTTTCTTCCAGGCATCTCTTCGGGGGAGGGGGGGGGGGTCTCCGCCCCTCCCCCCGAAGAAAGTCTACCGCCCCCCCCCCCCCGCCCCGAACGAAATGAAATTTATAGAGAAATTATATACTTTTAACAGTGTCCGCCGTCCGCCCCCCCCCCCCCCCTCGAAAAAAGTCTACCCCCACCCCCCGGAGAAAACGTCTGGAAGAAACACTGCACATCAGGCATAATAGTATACATACCACATTCTACTAACGCCCCTAAACTTAGAGGGCGGGGCTGGGCGCGCCTCTGATTGGTAGGTTAGAAAAAATGGGAGGAGACAAAAGAAAAAAAAAATTACACAACATGAAGGCATTGTTGCCATAAAAAATAACCGATAAACATGTAAACATTGACACATTAACACCAATTTAGGAATAGATTTTTTAAAAAGTTAATTAGTGCAAAATCTAATTAAGCAGTGCTCGCTCTAATGTGTGCAGAATAAAAAAAACGAAAGAAAGAAACGTAAGGCTAACATAAGCGTGATAATCTAATGCAGATCTAATGAAATACTAGACAAATGAGGCTCCTGTATTTAAAAAAAAAAATGCAAGTTTCTATTTTTTTTTAGTGTTAAAAATTTGAGCCTTCAGCTGATAATACAAAATATTTGACGACCTTGATCCCGACCCTAAAGCAAACGACCTTGACCCTATACAGACAACACCAAATACTGACCTTGAACTTCTACCCACCCACCACACCTAACCACATTACACACAAAGAAAAAAAAATAATCAAAAGTCCAAATACTAACCGGGATCCAAACCCGACCCCCTGTGGCTGCTATCGTCCTCACTACCCCCTCGACCACTGTCGCTGGGGTCGGAGCCCCCGCTGGACTCGCTGAGCGCATCTTCAGCGGCGCTCTTCTTCAACATCTCCATCAAATGGACCTGGAACGAAACCAAAAGATGGACATGGACTAGCGTGCTATTTTTTTGTACTGCACGGGGGCTCACGGTGACCCTAGATTAACATTTAATGTTAACTTTTTAAGGTGACCTTAGTTTAAAATTTAATGTTAACTTTATGAAGATGAACCTAGTTTTAACATATAATGTTAACTTTTTAAGGTGATCTTAATTTAAAATTTCCTGTTAACTTTTTGAAGATGAACCTAGTTTTAACATATAATGTTAACTTTTTAAGGTGATCTTAATTTAAAATTTCCTGTTAACTTTTTGAAGATGAACCTAGTTTAACATTTATTGTTAACATTTTAAAGACGAACCTAGTTTAACATTTAATGTTAACTTTTTAAAGATGAATCTAGTTTGACAATTAATTTTAACTTTTTAAGTTGACCTTAGTTTAAAATTTAATGTTAACTTTTTAAAGATGAACCTAGTTTAACATTTTAACTTTTTTCAAAGTAACTCTAATTTAACAATATAATATTAGTTTAAAATTATCAATGTTGACTTTGTTATTTCTTTTTTTAACAGAGCAATAGGCTACTATGAGCTTATTAAAAACAAATAATTAAATAGTTCAGTTTTACTTATCATCACAAAATAATGACAATAAGACCTACGTTAAGATAATTGTAATTAAATTATACGATATACATACATATTACATTATTTATTACAAAAACAAAAAAAACAACAACGTAAAATTAGATTATTTAATGTTTAAAAATAACAATATTGAAGCTATTGGTGAATATTTGTTTTGTTTGAATTTCTTCATCTTCTATTATAAGCTGAAGCAGTTAAGTAATGAATCGCTTGTAAATAAACACAAACAATTGTCATTGATCTCCCTTCTTTTACAACTTTTACGTCATTAGTAAAGGTACATAATTCGTACTGACTTAATCCAGTGAAGTCCCTGTTTAAAATAAAGGGCTCTTGCGGACTTGTTTTCGGCAGCTCTCTTTAGTCGAGACCATGTGACCCACGCAGCCTAACCCGAATTTGTACATGACTACCAAAAGGGTCAGTAGCAAAGGGGTCAATTTCAAAGGGGTCACACGAGCTAACATATTAACAGCCCCAGCTCCAATTTTAAAAAAATTACAAATTTCAATAAACCACATCATTTGATGAGAGCATTTTCTATAGATTTCTTTGCAATGCACGGCTAATTAAGATGATTAAGAATATCTTGTTCGTTCTATTAGAATATTTTTCTTTTCTTTTTTTTTTTTTTTTTGTGTTCTTCAAATCTATAAAGTTGGGTTTTTCCGTAATGTTGGCTGTATTGCTAAATCTGGTCAATATTCAAACGGCTTAACCATCACCTCATTATAAGTTTTGAAGTTTTTTTAAGAAGAATGTATGGATGCAACCATTATATATATATATATATATATATATATATATATATATATATATATATATATATATATATATCCCAATAAAAAGATAATGTTAGTGGTTACTAAACAGAAAATCTGAAATATCTTCGATTAAAAAAGGACCGATAATGTATGTATATGTATATGAGTGTATAACGGTGACCGGAAAGATTCGCAACGAAAAACTGCGCACACAAATGTGCATATGGGCATTTTTGTTTTCTTAAATCAACATTTGTAGACATTAACAAAGAATGACCACAAGTAGGTCCTAGATTGGAGCAGCAAAATAAAACACTTTTCTACGAAATATGACAAAATTAAAATAAATTAGTATCATTAATTTGTATTTGCACATCTTTGTTTGTTTGCGCAGTTTTCCGTTGCGAAGTATTCCATTTGCGGATTCATATATATATATATATATATATATATATATATATATATATATATATATATATATATATATATATATATATATATATATATATATATATATATGGATATACATAGAAATTGCAGTTCCGTGGCACCAACGATTGATATCCCAAGCAAATAAATACATACAAGCAAGCAAGCCTATGGCAAAGGATAAACTAGCAATTCTAAAGGAGGGAGGTTGGCCTAGTTGATTGAGAGGAGTAGGGGAAGGGAGAAGGTTTGGAAAGAAGAGGAGAAATGGAGGGAATCGTCTGACAACTCACCTCCTCCTCCTGCGGAGAGCGTCTGATGTTGGTTTGTTTCTCAGCGTTGACGGGAATATTCAGCGTGCCGTTTCCGTTTTTGGTGGCAGCCATTGTCAACTTGTTGGGGGAATTCTGGGAAAGACAAAAACAACAACGATAAAATTCCGTCAGTAAATATTTCGTGTCTTAGAGTTCTGAAGATGTTGATGTTAAAATCTGAATTAAAATAACAATTGTAGGCATGTCGTGCGAGATGCTGAATGAATGAACCCGATTTGTTTGATTAGTTTCTCAATGGTAATGATGTGGTGATGCTGATAGCGTGTAGACGTGGGTCATGGGACGGCGTGGTCTAGCGGTAGAGAGCTGGACTGCTAACCCGAATGTCCCGAGTTCGAATTCGGGTTCAAGTGGGTAGACCGTCCCTGAGTCCACCAAGCTCTACTTCACCTGACCCATGTTTCTGTACTGAGTTATACGCAAAATTGAACATAATGATTCCATATTTTCTTTACAGACTGTTTTTACCTTTTCTTTATATATTTAGTAACCCCAAAATAAAACCTGTCCAAAAGCACCCCCCCCCCCCTCTAGCAATCGACCTGAAGGACATTTTTTCTGAAACCCCCAATATGTGTTAAGTGAACTTGAGGGTGAGTTAGAAACAAACAAACGGACCATAGTCAATAAAAGCAATTTTCTTATAAAAAGTAAGATACGTCTGTTCGTTTATTGTTTTTATCAGGGCTTAAGCCTATACGGACTATCGGTTTAGTTTATTGTGTATTAATCGTAAACCGAATAACAGTTCGGTTTATTGGAGATTTGAGAAGTGGGTCTTAGGGGGAGGTGTTAATAATACCGTAGATCACAGTTGAGTTTATTGGAGATTTGATGGGGGTGTGCTTGGGGGGGGGGGAGGTGTTAGTTGACTGTTGATATCTTGATACCAGCTACATAACTGTCTTGTATCTCGATACGATAATCACTTCCTGATCCCGCGCTCGAGTTATAAAGCTGATAGTTATCTGCCCCTGTCGTGTTTTACGGGTGTATGTTTAAGTGGGGGGGGGGGGGGATAACTCACAACCATGGTTGGCATGGTTGTAGTGGAGTAGTAGAGTAGTGGCAGGGGCGCCTGGTTGGATCAACGACAGAGTTGCTGGCTGGTATATTATATTTTAGACTCCCTCATCAAAATACAAAAAGGTTATTTAACAAATATAATTTGTTTTATAGAACACATAGGTTTACGTCGGTAGACCAATACATCAGTGGTCCTTAACCTGGTTTGATCGAACCCTAGGGGTTCGGTGTTTCTGTCTCATTGGTTGGGCGGAGGTCAAGACACACACCCGACTCATATAATTCACGATCGGATTTTGTCAGTGCGGACGATATTGCCCTAGTAAGAAGGCGAATGCGCATATGAAACTGGTGGGGTTCGGTACTCGCACAAAGGTTCAGAACCACTGCATGAGATGGAATCAAAGTGTGTCTATGTGTGGGGGTGGGAGATGAATTAATACCCTTGTCTTACTATCGTGGGTGTACTATCGCGTATTAAAACAGCGGGGTTGAAATGGACGTTTCAATACGCACTACTGTTTGCATACCCGTACCTCAGTATAGAAAAAAAATAGTTTCGTTATAGATTTGTTTGATTTCCGGTTTGGTCTTTGGTCCATATAGAGGTGTACTGCCAATGTGGGGATACGGCTAATCCGAAAGTACTAAATAAGGACTTAAAACATGTGTGAGATTCACTTGTGTAAATAAAATCCCCCCCCCCCCCCCCTTCTCTCCATTTCGCAGTTTTATTCCAACGCCCCTGGAGGCTCGAAGGATCACCTTGGTACTTTGTTATCAGAATCTCAAACAATGTCCTATGGGCATTTACACATTCACACGTCTTTAAGCTGATTGACAGCAGTCGCTTAAGTGTTCGGCTTGCAGGGGGGGGGGGGGGGGAGAGAAAAATCTTTGAGACCTTTATTAGAATGGTGGATTGGTACTTTTGTCAAGCTCCAGGGTCGGATGTTTGTAAATAATTACTGCTACATCGTGGGGTGTGTATTGTATTGAAGATAAAAGAGTTTGAGCTTAATATCTGTTTTGTAGTGGTTCACTATAGGGTGAGGTTATGTTTAAGGCTAAAGGTATATTTAAGGGTAATATTACATTCAATTTTGTTATGATTAGCTTGAGGAAATGTAAAATAAATACAATAGCGTTGACAACATTTGCAGTATTTCGGGATTCAGGTTTAGGGTTTTGATCTGACTTAATTCTAAATCAAAGTTTGATTCTAAAATAATTCGGGATTAGGTTAATATTGATTAGGGGTGAGTGCAATGCGATTTATTACGGTTAAGGCGGGTCTTTTTTGACTTTAAAAATACATTTTTGGATGGTTGATTAAACCTTTTTGATATTAAGTTTAAAAGCGAAATTGAGATTTAAAAGATAAATCACTTGAAGAGTACAAAAAGTATGTAAACAAGACGCAGACAAAACGACACGTACGTGCAAAGAAAAGAAAAGTCTTTGAAAAAAAAATCTGAACGAGTCTAGAAAACTTCTAGACAAAGATAAGCTGTAAATAGAAAACCCAATAGAGCCGAATACCTTGAACTAGAACCTAAACACTCGAACCCAATGCCATTGAAAGGTAACTCATTTCTTCGCGCAGGTGTGCCCAGCTTACGGGTAGCGTATTCCACAGGTAAAAAAAAAACTCTTTGAATGGCCGGCGTATAAAAAACATGGAGGTGTACAATTTTACGGTCATTTTACGCATGACTGGCTCCAGTTTAGAAGGTCAAACCACTTCATCTAAATTTGGTCAAATACGGACAGGGAAAAGAAATCTTTTCAGAACAAGTTTGTCCATCTCTGCTTTTTTTGTCAGGTGTTTTGAAACGTTAAACGGTTAAATCGTGAGGCATACAAACTTTGTCCAAATGTTGAACTAGTTTATAAAACATTTCTGGCTTTTAGACACCTGAAGCTTAAAAGCAACGAGCAATGAAACTAAATATGAAAATAATTTCTTTCAAACTTCAACAAAAGTCAATTTAATTTAATTTTTTATTTTTGCATTCATTACCGGCACATGTAAGGTTTGTTTCTGATGAAAACCTGGGGTGGAAACATCCATTGGTGTTGTTAGAATACGTTCAATGTTTTAAACAATTTTTTTTCGTGCTCTTTAAATGGCATTTGAATCAACAAATTATCCCACAATGAGAGTCTAGGCACCGAAACAACCAGAGAGAGCAGACGATCTTAACTTCTGCCAGTAGTTTAACAAGTTCCATTGAGTTAAAGATGTGGAGTCAGTAACGTTGAGTCAGAGGAGTCAGTGAAGTGGAGTCAGGGTTTCGAATCTGAGGCCTAATTACAGAATAACCGTACCCTATGCGTGCTACCGTAATTAACGTAAAGCCTAACCCAATTTGTTCTAACCTAATTAAAGAAATGCCGGCTTTATATTCGCTACCCTTATTAAAGAAAAACCGTACCCTATATTTGCTACCCAAACTAAAGAAAAAACCGTACCAAATATTTGCTATCCTAACCGAAGAAAAGCCGTACCCTATATTTGCTACCCACATTGTAGAAAAACCGTACCCTATATTTGCTACACAAACTGTAGAAAAACCGTACCCCATATTTGCTACCCAAACCGAAGAAAGCCGTACCCTATTTGTGCTACAATGTAGCAGTACACCCCGCTACCCCAGCCCAGTCCCTGTAGGTACTATATTAGCCATCTTCGAGCGTGCGTATCAATATTTACTGCGATCAATCGATATCATTCACGCTACGACACCCAATCGGACGGGGTCTTTGATCGAAATTTTCTTGGGCGGAGAAAAAAAAAACTTTTTCTTTGGGTTCGTGCTTTGAAGAAAGCTTGCAAGAAAACGTAGAAGTTTGTTCTGGAGCGGTAGACGAACTAGGGAACTAGTATGACCAGTGGTGTTTTTGGGGTGTTTTAAAAGTGTATTAATCATGGGTGGTACAAGGTTATTAATAGACGGTGTGGACAGGGGTTGGAACCATGATCCATTAATTAAAACACTAAAAATTCAGAGGACACATATAAACATTTGGAAAATGAAACGTTGGGGGTATTATATTGACAATAAAGATGATTGCTTTTTATGTTTCTATTTGCAAAAAGCTGATTAAACATTTAAAAAATGATCTCATGTTTAGACACGTGACGTAGAGCACGTGATTTATCGTCTTCTGAGTTTAAACTTATCGGCCTTCAACAACGCCGGTAACGGGTGGAGTAGAGTTTATCTGCAACAATTAAAATATGTTACCGATTCACTTTTAAACAACAACAACAACAAAAAAAGCACTATATTAAAAACATTCCAACTGTTCCTAAACAATATTTTGTGTACCTAACACACCCCGATTTATATTACACATAGTCTTGTACGCTTAGGGGATTTCCTTTTACAATCAGCGCTAGACTCAAAAGATCTAGGTTTGGTTTGAAGACCTGCTTTGATCTATTCAACCTTTTAAAAGTAAGGCTTAGGACATCTATACCGAATAATAAGTATAGGGGAGCAGGGCGTGGGAGGGGGGGGGGGGGGGGGGGAGTCTTAAAAGTGTACCAGTAGTCCAAAACGAAGTTTGTTTTGATTTTAAAAGGTTAATGAAACCAATTAAAGTAACGAATTAAGCCTTATACTTTAAAAGACTCCGGGATTACGTTGTAAAATAAATCTACCTACGCCCTCTACCTGCACTCAAAGAACAGGCCTTTTAAAATATTCTTTAAACAACGTGGCTATGAGACAATACTAATTTTTAAACTGGCTGTCTAGTATGATAAATCACATATACTCAGCCGTCTCCTTTACTGTGTATTTACGATAACATTTATATACGCAAATAAAATGAAAATCACTAGAGCAGTGGTTCCCAACCTTTTTCGAGTGGCGACCCCCTTTTATAAAAAGTAAGTGACCCGCGACCCCCATAGAATTAAAAGTCCAAATTAGTAAGGAAATTCATAAACACCAAGATAACATTTTTCTAGCATAATTTTAATGTACATTTTTTATAACAGTTTTAATGCGATGGTTGGAACTGCATGCTATTAA